CTGATGGCATGGGGATGCTCGGCGAGCATATAGTCGAGAAGCACATGGCGACGTGAAAAGGATGAACATCTAAATATTATCCTCATAGACGAAAGCGCGGATCAATTAGGCTCTAATTAGGCTCACCATGAGCATTGTTCAAGGCCTTCAACGCAATAGCTGTCATCTTCTCCTGCGTACTGCTGCTCAGCTGCTGAAGTTGACGAGTTATCTTCGGTGAAACGTCTAACCATTCCAAACCAGATTCGGTAGTTTTGGTATCAATTTGGACACCAGCAGATCGACCCGTAATTGCCCACAAATAACGAGAGCACTAAAAATATGCTCTTGGAATTTTCGAATCGGAAAACTTGATTTACCATTTGATGCACAGCCGGTGTTACACTGTCAGAGGAAGAAGATTTTTCCTTCCCTGCTTCCAGATCAAATATGTCATATTTGAGATGATCCCACAGATAAGAAACGACTTGTTCAGGCGAGACATCCACCTGCAGAGAGATATCCAACAGGCGAGTGGCCTCTCCACGAATTTCGTCTCGACTGCAAAAAATTGGTATTAGCACTGAAACAATCAAGCAGAAGAACTCACGTGTCCCCACAAGCTTGCAACAACGTCCACCTCAAGCTCATTTCGTCGGATGTTAGAAAAGCCTCCATATACTTCAAGGCGATAAGACGACATTTGGGATTTTGCTGAAATGCGCAAATAAGTGAAGAACACTTCATCGAAGTGAGTAGTTAGCAAAGTAACGAGCCATCACCAAACGATTCTTATGTGAACTTTCAACATCAAGCAACTATTCCTCCGCAAGAAAATTCGTTTCCACATGATGCAAAAAACTTTCAAAAACTCCAACTCTTTTCGTGATCCGTTTCAAAAAATAACAAGTAGTAAATGGAAAACCTACAACCATTAAGGATAATGCAAGAAAGTGCTGACTTTGTACTCGTTAATCATACCTACATGTGTGATGAATTCTTGAATCAACGTTTTCAACTTCTCCATCAGCTCTGCATCCTTTAGTTTCCGGAAACCATCCAGCCACTGTGTGAGGCAATCGACAACAGCATAAGCTACGTCATCTGGACTCTGTATGGGAGACCAAATGATAGAAATAAAATAGATAAGGGTCACACATAAATTTTCCACCTAGTCAGGCAAAATATTTCAAGCGATAGTAACAAAAGCAGGCTCACCTCTGCAATACTTTTGAATGTACGTCCTATAATGTCAGCTTGTCCAGTCAGTATAGCGGAATCTCTTTTTCCGAGTATGCCAAGACATCGGTACATAAGCGACAGAGCCACACCATTCTGAACAATGAAATTGGCAAAAGTGTTTTGCGAAAAGATCAGATTTTCGAACACTGCTACCTTGACTTCAGATTCCTGAATTTTCTGAACCCTGTCGAAAAGGAGAGGACCAAAATTTTTCTGTGCTGCCGCAGGCATATTCTCTATGACCTTTACCAGGAAATTCATTGCAGCTATGAGCAACTTTGATTCAGGTCGCGAGGTATGCGTAAGCCCCTCTAAGCACACCTGAATAATGTAACTATATGCGAGAACAATTTAGCTTATCACCTACCTTCATATTATTCAT